TGGGCAGCTGAACTGTTGTTTGGGATTGGCCATTACGATTTTATTATTTAAGTGTTTTGCCATCAGCACTAGCTGCCAGTCCTTTTCCTGGTCTAATAGTAACTTATAAAGTCACCAGAGGGTTGATGGCAGGCTACATGAAGGGGCATCTCCTGAGACATGCTCCATGAATCCTGGCCCAGTGAGGCAAGATAGATGAGAAAGGACCTTGGTCAATACCCCTTCCCTGAGTGTGGAATGTCATCCTCAGAGAGGCTCAGCTGGCATTTGATGATAAGTGTTCGCCTTTCTTTACTTTCCCAGGCATTTTAAGAACTATTCAGCTATTTTAGAAGCTATCTAGTGTTTTGTTGCCACTTTCTTGTGATTTTATATTTTTTTCTGGTCACTATTATTACTGCCCCTTATTTTTAGCTACTCTATTTATAAAAAGGTAATTGCCTATTAGAGGCAATTAGGAAAAAAATAAGATTATAAAAGTATAATTCCTTTATTCACATATTGGAATGTTTTGGTCATTTCATTTTAGAGAAGATATTGGAGAGCTAGAAAAACCGCAGAAAAAGGGGAAACATAATTATCACTAAGAAGGAGAAGCCGCCCTAAAGGAAAATCCTGAAGCATTTGAGGACTCTTAGTGTTGGGGGGAAAAATACTAAAGATATAAACACGGTAGCTTATAACATTTGCAGCTGTGGAATGACAGGATTTTTTCTTCTTCCATAGTACATGGAGTCATCCAACAAAATTGAGTCAAAATAGTTTCAGGTTAGCCCAGAAACAAAAAGAAAACTTCATACAACACGCAAGTTGGGCCATGATATTTGTAGCCAACAAGTAATGGCAATGTGGCTAACTCTTAGCCTTAAAATAGGGATCAGACAAATTTATAGAAGATAAGGCTATATTCTGCTTTAGTATCAGAGCAATATGCCACTGAAACCAGTTGCTGGGAAACACAAAAGAAGCTATTGTGTTTATGAGCTACTTGCGAGCATCATAGTAGAGGCACTATATAATACAGGCGATAGCCACTTTGAATGGACCATGTCAAATAGTAGTTCATATGTTATTTCCAACTTTAGAACCTCACAAATTCAGCTATTAATGTTGTACTGATTCCAGGGTGCTTTTGTAAGGATGGATCTACACAGCTTTATAAGATAACTTTACAAAAGGAGGAGACCCTCTTGCTGGCATGAGAAAAACAGCCTGATGTAGTAAGCACTGGGTCCCAAAACCAGCAGAGATCAATGTATTAATCTACTAGAATGTACAGCTTCCCAACATATATTAGTCCTTTGATGCAGCTCTTCACTTAAAGTCTCAATATACATGTGTTTTAGAAAATTAAAACAGAAAATGGGAAAGGTTTCTTCCTTTTAGTCCATTTTGCTAATTAATACGTCAAAGCTCGTAAAGAAGAACTCATCAGCTTTTCTCCAGTACTGCATCATTTTAAAGAGCTGTGTCAGCAGAGACTTGAGCAGACAGTCAATACATATTAAGATAAGTCCCAAGCATTAAATAGTAAGAAAGAACCATATGAAAAATGAAAATAAAGCAAATAGCTAGGAGGCTAATGGAATACCATTTGTGACTTTGCATAAAAAGGGGGGAAAGGGCAGTATTTTTCCAATACAAACAATAGTTTGTACATAAATCCTTCCAATCTATGCCATTGTAACCATCGTAACACACAATAGCTATGTATTTATAGCAAGTTAAATTAAGATGGACATCTTGGACATTTTTGTGGCTAAATCTGATTTGAAACCTGGCTTATTGAAACACAATCAGCAGAGAAGCAGAGAGTTTGAGTGCTTCTGAGATTACACAGGAATCTTGGCTTAGTTGCCTCTCATCCATTCCTTACCATTGGCTGTATTGTCTCAAAGTGTAAGAGACCGGGAACGGATGCTGCTGGGAAAAATAAATGCTTCCGTTTACCCTGTCATTTATTTCACTGAGTTTTTATATTCATTTGTTGGTTAGATTAAAGCGCTCCGCTCTGTAAAGATGTCTGGTCTATGTTCTACCAGCCCACTAAAGAGGAGCAGATGAGGCTATAGAACTTCCTGATCAGCTCCATTTCGGTGCTTCCTCCCTTAACTCATACCTAGTGGCTGGGAGTTCACCACACTTTTGCATAGGGAGAAATGGGAAGTAGGGCCATTCTAGCAGATCAGCCCCATTTGACTCTCCCATTTTCTCAGCTGCTTCCAAGCTAATTGGGCAGTGGGTAATTTTAAGAACTTTAAGAACTAACTCTTGGCTTTAACAAAGGATCCTTTTCTGATTGTATGTAACCTTTAAAAGCTTCTATGGAAGATTTTTTTTAGCAGCTTTTAAAGGTTACATACAACCAGAAAAGGATCCTTTGTAAAGCCAAGAGTTAGTTCTTGGCCAAGACAAGACCCCGGCAATTCCAGTTTAGATCAACATTCCTTTTCTTTATGCATTAAACAAAATATCAGTGTGTCAAAGAAAACAGAGATCCAAATAACATCATAGTAGAAATTCAGAATCTCTGTTGGGGTTTTATTTTCTTTGAGTGTACTATTAAAAACAGTGCTAAATTAAACTTGCATTTGGGAAAAGATGAGCTAGTGTGATATAGCCCCTTGCCTATAACCTGGGATGATGACATGGCAAAATTGAGACAGCAGCATAATCCTGTAAACTATAAGAGATGAGAGACAACATGCAGGAACAGCAGCATTTTCCATCTCTGTCTGTCTGTATGCTTGTTTGCTTATCTATCTTGCATATGTATGCACCTGTGTGTGTGTGTGTATGTATGTATGTATGTATGGATACATACACACACACCTCTAAAGACCACAGCTGGGGTCTTTTTGAGGTTTGCTTATAATGGAGTAAAAGAGATTTGGGCCCTCATCCATAGCCTGGGCATGGAAATTGGAAATGAGAGCTTGTTCGGTTTGAAAACATTTCCTTGCCAACTATTATGACTGCAGTGGGCCTTGTTCCAATGTGGATTGACAGGAAGGGCTCCCATTTATTTTTGGCAAACAAAATGCAGCTGCTATGTTTGCAAACCTCCTTCTGAGTAGCAGGGCACAATTTCCAACTGATGAGTCACTTTTTGGAAAGATTTTCAGCCTGAGATTCTCTTCGGTAGTGGTTTCAGAGAGGAGGATGAGAGACAATACCAGGTGAGATTCTCAATTTCAAATAGAAAAATAATCTTTTGTACACTGAAGATAAAGGGAAGAACTAGAGGGTAGGAGAAATTAAAAAGATTATATTCTTGTACCATAGAAATGAAAATTGCTGAATGCCAAAAAGTATTGACTAAAAGTATCTGACTAAAAATGTCAGTGATATAGTGCAGTTACTCTCTGTTTAAATAAAGCTTTATTATAGACAATATATTATCACCATGATTATTAAGGCAGACAACGTAGCCTTCATTTTTTAATTTTGCAAAATGTGTAACAAAGTTTATTCAAAATGGCTGCTTTCCACATATCCTTTAAAAGCTAAGTAGAAAAGGCATTAAAATGTTTACCTATGAGATTTTCACTGTGGTATTAATAACCTAAAGCTTTTTATTCAAAGAGAAATTAAGTAGTTTTCTAAACTTGTACTAGAATACACTGAATTTAGTTTCTCCTAATATGTGAACTTTTTTCCCAGATACAAGCTATTCTATTTATGAGAATGTTTCTACATAAAAGGATTACTCTGGATAGGAATGGGAAATGGAGGATAACAACCTATGTCACATTATTAGTTAGAATTCAACAGATATTAATTAAGGATTTTCACATTTGTAATGTTCTTCTCTGCAGGTTCCATGATTTAATCAGGATAAATGAAGTAAGCAACTCTCAGTCTATTGTTCTGTCAGAGAGAATGATTTGCAGTCCTAGAGAAGGAAAACTAAACAGTTTTCTACATTTATAAGAGCCACCCTCCCATAATACAAATAGGAAGATCTTCTAAAATTATGCTACAATAGATAGCTATGGCAAAATAGGATCTTAGTCATATAAGGTTTTCAAATACTTTCCCCTACCGAAAGCATTTTTTACAGTGATCCAGAATTCTATCATAAAACATTAGGTGAAGGGCGATAGAAGCCTTAGTCACAAAATTTTAATCCTATTCTTCAAGTCTAGAATTTGAAGTAACATATAACCATCACAAAATCCTTATATAACTCAGATACTTTTTTTTTATTCTTCTATTTTTCAGGTCAGATGGGAATCAATTGTGTGATAGCTGCTGTGAGGTAAGGTTACCCAATGTTTTATTTAGGAACCAGCCCATGTTTGGAACTGAGTTTCTGAAAACAAAGAATTGGGGCTTAGTCTAGAAATGGAATCAAGTTTATGTCATGTGACTCTAAGGGGAGGGACATATAGTCAAGACTGCCAGCAGCAGGTCACCTAAACCTGGAAGGTCAAGATAAAGATGCTGCTCCATGAGCTTGGAAATCCAGGAAAGACTATATTCTCCATGGCTGGAGTGATCTTAGTGATCACCAAAGATCATTGGAGCCCTGTAATTTCACCCTCATGATCAAATTGCAAGTACACGTTCCCTGTATTGCCCCAAATAAGGTCTAAATACTAGACCAATCAGCTGACTCACACTGGCAAACTAAAACAATTGTTAAAATAATACAGTGAAGATACTTAAAAAAAAAAAAAAAGCAACGAGCTCCTAACCAAACTCCCTACCACTTTCACCAGGACTTTCCTCTCCTCCCCAGCCTCATTTTTAATGCCTTTTTCAAATGTAACTGTTTACTTGGCACACATAATTGTATTTAATTAAAAAGTCATACTACTGCTGCTTTTGCAAATTATTCCACTTTCAGTGAATATTCCAGAAACAAAATAAACCTTGATTTCTCATTATAGATTGGAGATTAATGGGATTTAAGGGACTCTCTAAACTATTTTATACATTTTATTTAATATTTTAATTGCAAAGTGTAGTAAAACTAAGGCAAAGCAATATCTTACCTAGTTTCTGACCAGTCAACAAGGCAACTTTGCTTTCATCTGCCACTGGAAGAAAGGAAGAAAAAGAAAAATACATAAAAATCAGATTTAGCCCTGAATGAAGGAATCATACACCTTCAGTAACAGACCCTAGACTATTTTCCAAAGCAGATGCACTTCTTTTTGCAAAGTTTTTATTTTTGCTGTCTAATTCACAAAATGTATATAAATATAAAATATCAACACATTCTAAATTTCAAACCCTAATTAAATTAAAGTTAAAAATAGGTATGGATTATTAAAGTATTTTAGAACAAAGATGACATTTCAATCATACTACATATTTTTCCATCCAATTTCAGTAGAAAGCAGCTGGGACTTCTCTATAGAAGTAACTCCAGTATACAAAAACGGAAGCATAATAAAATACAATTCTGATATAATATACTACTTCAATGTTAAATGTAAAATATATATATATATATACACATTTTTACCAGCAGCATTTTTAGCCAAATTGGGCATTATGTTTCTCTTCTGGTTTAACCTTGTGACTGATTTTGTTGTTGTTAACAAATAGCCACAACTGGGATATGAAAGGGGGTTCTATCCTTGAATACTCCTGTGACTCCAATCAGAATTGAATGCCCCATCCCCTGTTTACACATACTGTATGTCTGCTTTTCACATTTGGAGGAAGGCTCCCATTGGCAAGAAATTCCACTGCCCCCAAGCATTTTTTGATGCCATTAACATGGAACTAGGTAATATTCAGGCGAAACAACGAGCAGAGACTGGTTGAAATCTGTTTTAGCACAGTTAGTCAAACTTCCAAAAATATGCCACCAGCAGGCATCCCTAAACAAAAAGCTTTTAGCATGATAAATTTGGCAAATCAAAATATATTCATTACTTTTGGGGTGGCCTCTGTACTGCTTCTTTCTCTCTTTCTCTCTCAATAAATAATCTGGCACAGCTTGTTCTTTTTTGCAGATAGAGAGATGAAGAAACTAAGTTTGTATGAGCTCTAACACAATAGATCTGGACAAGCCACAGCACAATGAAAAATCTCTCTCTTCCTCCCCGCCCCCAGATATCTCAATAAAATTCAAAGTATTTTTCTATCTGTATAAAGCCTAACCAAAAACACTTCACAGAGAGAAAATTAATCAACCAAGGTCCTATTTCCACAACCCCCCAAAAACTTGCATGCTTTTAAGGATCTAAATAAATTACTTTCCCTGATCTAAACATATTTGCAGTTGGGGGAAAATCAGTTGCTAGCTTTCCAGATGGATATTATCCTTACACAGCCCTTTCCGCATAATAAAGATATAGTGCCATCAATTAATTTTAAGTCAATGATTGTGCCAATAACATTACTTCAGCAGCTCTTATTTCTGCATTGCAGTGTTTTCTCATCTAAGGATAGTTGGACAGTACAGAGAACATGTCAAATCATGGCTCAAAACCATCCTTTTGCATATATTTTAACTGTTTTGTTTTTGAATAGAAACTCTTTCAAGGTATGCTAATGTTATATTCTCTAAAAAGTGAACTCATTCTGAAGACCTCAATAAAATTGCCAGATAAAATTCTTACATGCAAGAAGACCAAAAGCTTCTACTATCTATTTCAAGCTATGTTCAACTGGTATCTGAAATGGGTGAACTGTTGTCTGTTTCAACTGTTCTTACCAAAAAGAGAGCCAGAGTCAAGCCATGACTTGATAGACTGGTATAGTTTAATGAATCTTCATTAGAACAAACCATTGCCCAGAAGTTCAGGAGTCTTGAGCAACTGATCACTGAAGAGAGAAGGAAGTAAAGTACAGGAAACAGAGACTCATTCCAATAAAACTCAACTAAGTTTGACTAGTAGGTCTAAAAACAGCAACATGCTTGCATGCATTCTGTGTGATTATGCAGGATGAATAGCAACTGCTATTTGATGCTGTATTACATTCCCTTCTTTTCACAATAGCACTCAAGAAATGACTTATCCTGTAGTCACTGGAACAGCTATTCTTTTATTTTTAAAGTACAAAACAAGGTTATCTGAATACTATTTGTATGACTGAAAAGTAGCATTTTTTCTCTCTCTCTCAAATCTCCTGAATGCAATTAAGTGCCTTTAGATCTAGCTACCTACAAATCTCTTTCCAAGCCATCTAAAATAATATATCAGCCTTTGGCAGAAATCTATACTGAAACAGGTAATAAAAAGTTGGGATAAAGTTCTTTATTCCAGGGGCGTACAGCAAAATCAAAATGTAGACAAATCTTCCCAATGTTATCCTTCATAACAATATATTTTGCCAGTACTATCTCCTTACTTCTTTGCATAGTATTGTTACTGTCAAGATAATGCAAACTATTTTTTTTCTTTATAACACCTCTGCTTTTCATTCCTAAGTAATGCACAGCTAATGAAACCCTGCATATAGCTTCTTTTACACTTTTGTTGCTGCATGTCTTTCTCATACACTAAATGAAGCAGATTAATCCCCTCACAATGAACTACCGCAAAACATTAATAATCCACATTCTAATGGAACCTGTAATATCCATTATCACTTCCGCTCAGTTTCCATGTCATTCTATCATAAAAAATTATCTGGAAAGACTAACCTTAACAAAGAATCACAGAATGGAAGTGATCTTGGAGATAATCTAGTCCAGCCCCTGCTCAGTATAGGAATCTATTACTACAGGATCCCTGGCAGATAGACAGACACTGAGTGTCAGAGTCTGCACACTCAATCCCAAAGTTCAGTAAATCCTCTGGAGTCCAAAGAGTTCCATTACAGATTTCTTTATTTTAAGAGAAGCGCACAGCATC